AAGCACAAGTTCGGGCTCGGTTAGTGTTAACGGGCCGGCATTTTTTTTCATAACTCCCCGACCTTGTGAATCTTGAAGGATATCTAAACTGGATAATACAAACAAGTATTATTATTTAGCCCTCTTATCGGAAAAACTAAAATCAACCAAAAAACAAGTTCTTGAGCCGAAGTCGTAGGTATTCCAATGAGAAGAACAGAAGAAAGTATTACCTCTTCTTCGATCTACTGCTTTTATTTTTGTCTTTTGACCTGAAATCTCTCTTGTAACTTGATGAGTAGGCTTGAACTAGCTGTTTTTTATTCTGGATCACATTTAGAAGTCCAGCTTTTCTCTTTAGAATAGACCTCTCAATTATTTTCTAGAAGGTTTTTTAGCGATATATTGAACTGTTGAGTACCCTTTCTTTGATTTGGACGAAGGAATCTTGCGGAGCTTCTCGCTTTTTCTGAAATGTTAAAAGTTCCATGGTGCTTAGTAATGCTAAATTGAACGCTTGTGAATTTGGCAGGCAAAGATTACAACTTGCACTCGTATTGGAGCTTTATGAATCCTGAAATCTGTTGAGCTCAAGCTTTCTATTATAATTTATCTCTCTCCCTCACCCTATATCAAGCAGTATTCAAAAAAATTGAAAACAACGACATCATCACTTGCTATACTCCGTAAGCATATTCAAAGCAAACGATTATTATATCTCTGAGTCTAACTTTACCATATCCGATAAGATTATAATGAATAATCTGGAGCTTACCCTTTCTGTGACTTCCTTGAGGCGTCATGGTTGTCTGCTTTACCCACTCTAAATTTGCTAATAAAGTTGTGAGGTAGGCTGAACTCCGTAAAAATCTAACCCTCTGTTAATGGGTGTTTTGAATTTTCACGCTTACCCAAAGTGTTTTCTACGCTTTTGGTATATTACTATGTCACTCATCATCACCAATCGAATCGCCTGAACGTATTAGGAGGGGAACCACTGGGACGTGGTGCATCTCGGTTGGTAGGAATCCTGCTTCATACGANTTGCTAATAAAGTTGTGAGGTAGGCTGAACTCCGTAAAAATCTAACCCTCTGTTAATGGGTGTTTTGGATTTTCACGCTTACCCAAAGTAATTTCTACGCTTTTGGTATATTACTATGACACTCATCATCACCAATCGAAACGCCTGAACGTATTAGGAGGGGAACCACTGGGACGTGGTGCATCTCGGTTGGTAGGAATCCTGCTTCATACGACAATTTCCTAATATTGCCCCTCTATATACCCTTCCTACAGAACTGTAATTTTTGATTTTTACTACTTTTCATCGTATTCCCTATCATGAGATACGAGCTCTCTTTAAGATGAGAAAAACTCACAGCTTCCTTTGGGAGCTTGGAGATTTCCTTGGCTTTTCGACTTTTGTGCTGCGCAGCTTTCTGTGGAGTGCCTTCCGGCTGAAACCCTTACAATTAGTCTGCACTGATGGCTGAGAGCACTTTCAGACTAATCGACCGTAGAGATTTGTCTGCATACTTTAATTACTTTTCGGCTAAGAACACCAGTGGTGGATTGTACGGGCCCATTACCTCTTTACTTCCGATGACTAGATTTTCATTACACTGAACTCCTTTTACGAGGTCTTCAGGCAATTTAAGATAGGCTCTGTTCTAATGGCCTGTTTGATAATTTTATAATCTCACTTAGAGCTCGAAAAAGGCTCACGCTTTTCCAAGATACAACCGATGTTCAGGGCGGCTCTACTCTGAGAGAGTGGGAAGGTTCTACTGAAAGAAGATTTTCTTGGAAATCTTTGATTAACGTACCTTTCGCTCTTCTCAACTGCAGTATTCATATCCTTCTCAGGCTTTTCTGCAATTTTTCTCTGGCTACTAACACGCCTTGGTTTGTAGGTATTGTCTTCCTGTGCTGGAATAAGCAGTTTCACAGAAACGGAGACTGAAGGATGGAAGGATAACGCCTTCGAGAGTTGATCAATCCCGTCTGAAAGATGTGTCCCCGCATTGGACTTCTATTCGGAATAGCAGTGGCTTATCGAATGTGTACGGGCCTATACAATGGCTTGCGGTGGCCAGTCGTTGTACAAGACAGTGATTTTATCCTTCCAGGCTGATCTGGTACCAATTAATCGACCCCGGGGATGGAAGGCTTGGTTAGTCTCAGGACATCGAACCAGTTTCGGTCCAAGGCGGATACCGATCCGGGGGGATTCGAACCCGTGATCAAGAATATGCGATAGTGCGCCGCTTGCCGTTACACTATCACATATCAGACCCCTAACTGAAAATTTTTAAAAATAATTTATATTACATGGTAATCACTCTAGCAGCGCGAATCTGTTCCAATCTGCGCGAATATTCAAGAGACTGGGGGTTTGCTCCTTGGCTTTTTTCTGCTTTGTCGCCGTCTTGCCGAACTCCATCCCTTTCATTATCTGGGTATACCTAATTTTGATCATCGGGTTTCCACGAGTGACACATACAGCGCCAAATTTCGCCACAGAATGGACCACATTGTTCTGGGTTTGGCATTCCACTTCCAAGCCCTCAATCTTAAACCAATTCTGAATCCCTCTCTAATATTTATACCAGCTCAATGCCATTCAGTCATTGGTGCGTGATGACATTGAACCAGTATGGAAATCCTACAATCCTATCTTGATGGGTGAGATAAGTCTCACAAACTTTTAGCTGAATTTTAGCAGGTTCTCAATTTCCATAAGTTGCCATAGGTGCTCTCAACTATCCCTCGATCCTACTCCGCCCAAAGGATCCGAGCTTTACCTAGCTAGAGATCTAGGTTCCAGTTTCTCTCTCATCAGGGGATTGCTGCTGATTTATTTCACTAATCGAGTTGCAAAACTCGTTCAGATAGGCTTCACACTTACTTGGCTGGAGTGGTCTTTCTTCTTCTTCTCCTAAAGCACCGAACTCATGTTGCTCATCAATGTCTTTAAGCAATCTGGAATCCGAAAGTGGTCTAGTTTTCACAGTTTCCACGATCATCTCCATTCTGCCTCTTATGAATGTACTATACTGTACTCCTCAAATCATCCTTTTATATCTTTTTGACATGAAACATATTGACTGATGCTACGTAACTCTAGATGACATGCCTAGCTGGCATGCTCCCAAAATCACAGACTTTTTATGTTCCTTTTATGCTTATTGCCTTATGATACTGTAGATGCATATCGGTTTATGACAAACTGAGGTTTTGAAGAAACGACCTGTACTAGCAATAACGTCTTTGTATCACCCAAGTAGTATTCATAGCATACCTCCCCTGCCGGTTCGATACTGACTCCTTGACGCGTCTTCCAATCTTGCACTTCAGAAAGCTGACACAAATCGCTGGTAGAATGAGGAACGCGGCAGCTAAATCGAAGAAGTCAACCTAGGTAATATTCATGTGCATTCTAGGCCTTTAGGCCCGGCAATTAGTTTATTTCAATGGTCTGACGTTTCATTGTTATCGTTTTCTTGAAAGTCGCCAAAAATGTGCACGAAACTCGGTTGAGATCTACCCATTACTGAGGAAAACCGGCGAGGTTTCACCATTGAAGCGGATAATCCGCTGTCGCCATAGATAACATTCGCTGGTAAACTAGGATTTTTGCGGCCTCCAATCTATGTTGTTATGGTTATAAGGAAAACTACGTCATGATGCTACTGACCATGAGTCACACAGTTCCCAACTAGCAGGGTAGGACACCTACACCTGGGAACATCTAACAGTGGGAGTACACTTACCATGGATGCCTCCCGCTTCCATGCCGTAAAACCAACACCACCACTGTCCCTAGCCGACCATGAAAATAAACCTACCAGGTACCTTGTTTGTGTATGCTTGTTATCCTTCCTTCCGACGATATCAGCTAATCCACGATTATATCGAGTCGACATTGATGTTCTGCCGTACTGCTGCTATATATCCGCGGTTCAGCTGCTCGTTTTTGTGACAAGAATCTACCCAATGGTATGAACTGAGCGTGTTCTGAGGATAGGCTGATAAAGTGGAAGGAAATGCATTAAAAGCGAACGCACGGAACTACCGTAAGACCTCGTCATGTACGACATCGAACGGGCATGATCTGTACTCTTCAATCGCTTCCTTTTTTATAGAATCACGGTCCTGTTCACAAAAATCTGTTGGCGATATGAATGACTCATTTCTCCGCTGTCATACGACTGTGGATTCTTATTGGATACAGATTTCATAAAATGTTTGATGTCCAAATTTTCAGAAGTTTTCGGAGGCGTTCAGTTCAGGAGATGTCGGATTTTCAGATGTCTGTTCCATGAAGTAGTTAGTATCAACTGCGACGTTGTCGCAGTTGGAAATGGCCTAACGGGATGTTCCTCTACGGTCAAAAGCTTTTCAGTAATGGCTCTACCGTTGGCTTNTTCTCCGCTGTCATACGACTGTGGAATCTTATTGGATACAGATTTCATAAAATGTTTGATGTCCAAATTTTCAGAAGTTTTTGGTGTTCAGTTCAGATGTCGGATTTTCAGATGTCTGTTCCATGAAGTAGTTAGTATCAACTGCGACGTTGTCGCAGTTGGAAAGGGCCTAACGGAATGTTCCTCTGCGATCAAAAGCTCTTCAGTAATGCCTCTACCGTTGGCTTCATTAGAAAACGAAGAATACCCCAAATTCCCTCCACTTCCTACTTCACTAGCGAACCATTCAGCAACTCCACAGTCATGTGTACTTTCCAGTTTCTGTTACCAACTGAGACCGGCCGCACTGTCACAGGACAGTAACCCTTCCACATAATGCGCTGTCTTGCCGTGTGCATGGAACATCCCAGAGGGGTGCCATATACCTAGCCCGTATTAGTATGGTCTCAATGTACCGGTGATAGCCGATGCCCAGATAAGCAGCATCTGATCCCGGAAAAGTTCTCGACGCGAATATCTTGTAGTCAACAGATTTACAAATAAGTAGCTCAGTTTGGAAGAAAACCCCAGTTTCACAACCACGTTGACCGTTCTGATGCTCAAAAGGCCTAAAGCTCGTGTTGTGCTTAGCTTTAATCGGCGTCACGACTACGCACAAATTCCCCTTTGATCACTTATTCTGCGAAAAAAAAGGGTTATAAATTATGTGGAGCCGTTCTGAACTCCATATCTTCGATGTTAGCGCGATTCCTTGCTCTTTATTCAGTTTTTTTTTCCCAATTTTTATCGTTTTTCACAATTTTACTGTTGAAGCCTTTCATCAACGCAGCTATTTTAGGTTAGTCACTTTAGCCATTCAACTCCATATAGAGTACTTCGATGAGATCTGTGTTGTTCTCATGCTCGGCTTTCTTTTCTTTACCGGCTTATCTCAGGAGCCGTGGACGGCAGGGCAATCCTTGTCCGGATAAGGCGATAAACGGGAGGATAAACGACTACTTGGCAAGATGCCGGGTCTGGTATCTAACTGTGCTCGTTGGTTGCCTAGAATTTCCAAAGCACGGAAATAACATTAAACTCAGCTCCTCAATCTATAGAAGATGGTAGTTCGAAGAAAAGCAACATTGCAAAAAGTTAGATTTTATGGCATTCTCTCCAATTTGGAAGAACTTTTTTTTGCTCGCAGAAGATAACCGTAGAATCTTAGATGATCTTGGGCTACATTTAGTATTGTACAGATTGTGGCACACTTGTGCATTGGTTAGTGTTTCCTCTCTTCAGTGGCCCAAAACACACGTATGCAGCATATATTGGTACCTAAAACTCCTTTTATTTCCTTACTGAGGCGGATTCTACGGCTGCAACGTACATCGGTCCTCTCCCCAGAAGAAATACCTTTTCATGACATAGTACACCCCTCGGCGATAAGTTTATTTTACTAACTTTGTCACTTTCATGCTTCTCCCTTGCTGATTCCCAAGCCTTCGACGGCAGATGTCTGCACAGGTTACGAAATGGCCCACTCAGCACCGGCAATCGAAGAAAACTATTAGGAGGTGATTTGGCATTTTGCCAAGCCCCTCCTTTCTCGCCCTGTGCCGTGGGCCAATCATGGGAGCCGTCGCTGCTTTATAGGATTTGGAAAATCGACCAGTGAAAATCGGTGGTTGGAAAGGGGTATGAAACCGAGTGGTAATCAATGTATCAATGAATAGCTCTTCTTGTGCGGAACCGAATAGTATTCCTTGGAAATTTGTAGTTTGTTTCGGTAAAGAAATAAGAGAGGGTCAAATCTCTCCTCTTAATCGGGAACTTTTACATTTACAGATATACTCGTCGATTTCCCATAAGAAATGCTATTATTGATTGGTAAATGCCCTCTTCGATGAGTGCTTGGTTCACTTTCAGTTTTCAACTTTCTGCTTCACCGGACGATCATCCAAATCCTGGGCAACAGCGGCTACTCGAATGATTGGCGCGCAGCGCGGCGAAGAAGGGAAAGAGCCTCCTGCTTGGCAAAATGCCAGAACAACCGGGTAATCGTGCATCCACGATTTCCCCGCCGGTGCAGTGGGCTACGAAATAACCTGCGCGGATTCGTGGAATGCAGGAAGGGGAACAAAGTTTTCACTCATTAACATTCTTCCTGGGGAATCGAACAGTTAACCTCGCAGACGTGCAACTTGGTTTGGTAAGGAAATAAATGGTAGTCAATTCATCGAGGTATGCAGAAAACGGATTTTGAGCGTCGCACAATGAAGGGTTGTAACCGCATTTACCATGAAATTCTTGCAAAGCGCTAACTTTTTTTTTGGATCCTTAGTTGATTCCCTTTCGATTTCTGTCAAAATTAGTTGAAATACCCCTTGAAAAAAGGAGTATGCCTTAAAGGGCCAAACAGCTTGGCGAAATTTCAGGTCTGGCTTATGCTCGCGCGCCACTTCGGTGGGCTATTAGTAACCTGCGCCGAAAGTGAATTGCGCACTACCGTCGAGCGCTTGAGGACCGGGCAGTGAAGAAGGACTGAGGTGAAAACGTAAGGAAAACGAGCTTTTATTGAAGAGCTATTTTAGTATCATTGGATAGCTTTCTTTCTGGGGAATCGAGCGGTACCCATCGCAGCCGTTAAATTTGGTTTGGTAGCGAAATAGAAGATCGTCAAATAAGCAGGATGCGCCGGGTACTAGCTTCATAACCGCGTAACAGACGAAGCGCTAACTTGTAGTAGAGCCGACCAATGGATTTCTGTAGATCACTGACCATAGTCCAAAAGCATTTACCGGTTTCGTCGATAACATGTCAAACTTGGGGNCTGCGGTAAAATCAAGTTATTTCACAATAGTACTTCTACAAAACTTTGAGTACCATTAGACTACGCCTTAAGAGCTGAATCGAGCTATATAATCATTCATTTCCAAAGAAAACTCTTTGCAATACGAGATATAACAAAAATGTCAGAAAGACGCTACATGTGTTTCTTCGTTTTTCGCGTTATACGCCCTTTCAAAGTCAATTTTCAGAAATTTGAATGTAAGATTGAACCCATCTATTCACACTTGACAAGGTGCTGTTTTGAAGTCATGGGGAAGCTTCTGTCTAGAGTACCTCGACTATGGCGTGCTAACAAGTTTCATGGGGTATTTCATCAAAGTTTTAGAAGATGATGATGGAATCTATACAGCACTCTCGACCACAGTTAGGACTCTGCAGGAGTTTCATGGCAGACTTAGTCATAAAATAGCGTTTCCTCTGCAATACGGCCCTAATTCTCACTGCACAGCACTCCTTGATAAATGACCTTTTATTAATCACCGCGGGTTTCCATTAGTTTCACCTTATGCTCTTGTGTGGAAGTATGTCTCGGCATTGGCGACGACGGGCACCAGCAATCGTTGGTGTTCCGATTGGTGTACATTGCACTGTTTGGAGTGCAAGTGCAGAACATGCGTCATGTCTACGCCGCGGCGCCGTTGGGGTTGACTTCCGTTCTCCTTTCTTTTACTTACCCAATTCTTCGCAACACTTCACGTCACTCTTTAACAGATGATCCTCACTTGTTTGTTTTTTCTTATTTTTTGTTTGCTAGTTTGTTCAGCGCAAATGACAGCACGTTATATAGGAGACAAAACATTTTTCGAATATTGAAATTACGAAGAATCTCTGTTACTCAGTTTTAATAACGGCCTAGATAAGGCTTTATTTTAGTACTTGTAGCTACTTATTTCCCTTGTTCGCTTACTCTTTCTGGATCTCTACTTTATCTTTTGTTTTGAGCATAAAAATTTATTCTTTCAGTATGAATACTTTGGCAGATTATGGAGACGAAAGTGATGAGGAATCGCCCCGACGACGCTCATTTCACGCAGAGATAAGTACGTATACTGAGTTTTTTACTTTATTTCACTTCAATTCCCTTTTGCTTCATATCATCAATCATATTGCATTGATTATTTCTTGAGGTAATGGCTTAGGTGAAGTGCCAGCCCCTGCTGTTTCTCAAGCACCCGCTGAAGATTCTCCGAAAGCACGACAAACGGATTCTGACCATTCGCCCCCACAACGAAGAGATTCGGATGCTATGTTTGACGGTTCGTCGTATAAACTTGGCTTTTCATAGAAAATTTTCAAAAACTTTCTCCTTTTGTCGTTTTCATTCTATTAGTCTCGAATTAAAAATGCGCAACGTTGAGCTAGTCTTTTTTCTTTTTAAAACGTTAACTGTTTTCATTTGTCTTTGATGTCCCCAGGTTACTACTTGTTTTGATTTTTATGCTGAATCCTTAACCGGTTTATTTTTTAAAATTAAATATTTGCTCCTTACCGATGTTTGTATCTAGCTCTTGCTCTGATTGTCTTCTTTGCCTCTAATTCTGACATTTTTTTCTGAAACTTGCTTTGATTCTCTGTGAACATCTTCTCGCTCTATTTGTCTCATTAATCCTTCTTCGCAAAGCTCTTTCCAATCACCCTCCTCTGCTCCTTCTCAAAACTCGATGCACGGATATTCATCATCATTCATACCTTTTACTTCCGTAATCTTGCGCAACCAACAAGGTTCTCATGATGTACTAGATCTTATTCGGTCAATATTACGTCACGAATTGAATTGTTTTTAGAAACTGCACATGATTTTTTTCATTTCAGACGACATGATGTTTGATGAACCGCGTCGATATGCGTCATTTAGCGATACTAGTGATCGTAGCGAAACCAATGAATTCCGAGAGCCGCCGCCACCAAAACGGAGAGAATTGCACTCACCTTCACCCTCCATTCCGACACCCTCATCAAAAATGCATGAAGTATAGTTCAATTTCACTTCTTTGTCTTTTTTATGCGTCATGCGTTCCTGCCCGATATTCTGAAATGCTCCAATCGCTTGATACCTTTTCTCTAATTTTTTTTTGTGAGCAAGAGTTTTATTCTATGTAAATGATTACTAAGGGAAGTTATCAAATTAGGGAACCGTAGTCTTACATTATTGACCAACTTTCCAACAAAGGTTATTCCAAATAATGTTTTCAGGTCTCTTCTGCCTTATCATTGGTTTCCTACGGGGATAGAGAGGAGTATAAAGAAGATGCCTTCGAGCGAGGTAAAGAGTTTCATTGTTGCGTTTCGCATCTGAGTGCTTTTCAAGTGTTTTTATCACCGATTTCAGCTGATCGTGACGCAGAACATGCTCGAAGTCCCTCTTCGCCCCCTTCAGGAATGGTTGAACCTCGTCCTCCAGAACGTGTCAGTCAGGTGAATAACATATTACGTCTACCTCATTATTATAAAGTCAACTAAAGCCACCTCTTCTGATCAGTGCTTCTCAAAACCAGTATGAAACACCACTCTCGCAAAGTAATTTTTGAATGTTTGCCAACCTTTGCCACGTAACTTATTTTTCCTTCCTCCTATCCACATTAACACATGGCAATATCTGCTTCTCATGCCCGTCCGATGACCACTGTGATCAATCAAATAATGCAAAACGCCCCGACATTCGAGAGCACTCAGTGATTCCTCTCAAACACTATTTTGAGAATTCGTTAACGTTTTCAGAAAAGTGACACTGATGATGAAAACGAACGCCTTATCGATATGGCCCTCGAAGAAGGGCGGCATGCTCTGAGACAGGTAAGTAGAATCCTTTTTGTAGGAGTGTTTGTATTCCCTAGAAAGAGTGTTGATTTAATCATCTACCGAAATTGTCGTTACGGTTGAGAAAACCTGATGGTTTCAGGTCGAGGACGGGGCATCAACGGGATCTGGTGGATGGACTCCACGTCCTTATGACAGCCCGTTACATGGTATGGATGTCGACTCTGATACTAAGGTAACACTGGTATTCTTTGTACTCCAGAACTATTTAAAAGCATTTTATGTTAAGCGGATTGATACACCCCCTCACCAAGACGTCAGTATACCACCGCCGCCGACAACGGAATGTGATCCTGAATTAATAGTATGTTGATAAGAATTTTCTTCTTCTAGCTGATGTTCAATTTTTTCTATTTTTTATATATTCCCTCAATTTATTTTTCTTCAGCAAATCTTCTATAAGCACTTCGAGCGCAAAGCTGCTGGCATTGATGTAAATATTTCGGTTCAGGAACGGAAGGATTTTCAGAATCCATCTAGCTATGAACAGTTAATTCTTAATTTTGGGATCAATGAAGTCGGTTAGTTCTTAGAGAGAGGAGGCAGTTACTGTATCAAGTCTCTTACTTGGCTCGCTTTCAGCGACTTTACTTCATCCTCGGTTGCTTACGGTGGATTATCCCCGGTGTTGTCGCTACGAAAAAATCGGTAAGGCATTCATGTTTTTTTTNTTTTTTTTCGCTTGAATTCATTTTGGCGGTGGAAATCAAGCATTGTCACCGTAGATTTGGATATGCATTTTTTATTTGAGGTATACTTCATTTTAAGCTGAAGATCAGCGGAAATATATGGAAAGCTTGAACGCAGCGAAGAACGCCTCAAAACACGCGTCCGGTGGAACGAAGAACGCGGCAGCATCTGCGAAAACCTCTTCAGGAGTACTGAAGCATACAGCAGGGAGTCATTCATCATCAGCAGCTTTGAAGAGGAAATAAAAAGCTTTTCAATGTGCAAATTTCTTTTCCTTTTTTAGCAGTGAGAACTGAGGCTCTGTTCAATTGTTGTCTGTTGTTGAAATGGAATTTGTTCACATCTATCTGTACAAAACGCAAATAAATATGCATTACAACACTATTATTTCTGTTAGCTTGAGCAATTGTTCATCCATAATTATTTCAATATTATGACTCATTCATCGCAGTTTTGGGTTCTTCATATTGGGCTTCATATTTCAGAATTGTCATGAGAAGAAGCCCAGTGATTCTATTTTTACGGAGACTTCACGGAGGAAAAGAGTGGGTGTTCTTGATTTTCCCCTTTTATTAGCATACGCTGAGAGAGTGTGGTGACTTAGGTGGAAGGATGGAGCCTTTCTATAAATTTATTGAGGTTGTTAGTCTCCCTGTTGAACAGTGGAGTAAAGGTTCAGTTTAGAATGATTTATTGTACTAGGATGCCGGAAAGTTTTAAGAAAATTTCGCTTCTAAACATTGAAAGGATGTTCCTCGCAAATGCGCTCAAGTAGGACTTCGTATTTGATAGCAGGGAAAAGGGCTATGTTGATAGATCAATACTATAACTGATCGGTATTTGACGAGGTAGTTCGGAGTATGTAATCATAGATGAAAACATGTGCCACCGATCCATAAAGCACAATTACAACCGCGATTCAACAACCACGATAATCATCTTTTATTTTTCAGATCGCCTTCCGGATCTAACCATCGTCTTTCGCAGCTGCTACGATCTGCCACTCATCCGAAAACTTTCTCGTATGTCGATCAGCTTACGAATTATCTCAAGAACAACTTCATACTTCATGAGCCAGGTAAGAGTGTTCACAGTGAGTTCAATTCGAAGGAGATGTGATGATGGCAGTCCCAGAGACAAAGAAGATTTGATTAAGTTCAGGTGTCACGATTGTGTTGGCCATTTTTGTCAGAGTCAAAACGAGTACTATCTGTACAAAAGACCTCATTGAGTATGGCTGAACAAATCGAAATTATTTCTGATCATGACCACGTTCTAATCTAATCCTTTTTCCACACAGCCACTTCGAGAAGAAATTCCTCATAAAGTGATTGCTACTTAGGAAGGTTTCTGATCATTCCGAAGCCTTACGGAGTATCATGCGTTGGTGAACCTCAAAAAGAAGGGGGAGTGTTTGAAAATAGCGTCTTCAATAGAAAGGATCCAGATGAAGTTCCTCTGGTGAGTTTAAACTGCTCATCTATAAACGCTCGCTGTTTTATCTATAAACTCACTTCAAAAAATACGGTAAAAAAACTTCTCTATGAGTATTTTTTAATTGTATTCTTCAGAAGAAAGTGGTCAACCAAGGTGTTACTATTTCGGAATGTATACCAGGACTATCTCGATTATTCAACGAACCCCAACTAATGTTCTGCACTGGACTCAAAAGGTACTCACTCGTTTTCTTGCACCTCTGGACAAATTTGGCTATGTGCCCTCTTGTTTTCAGACTAATTTTAGCTCTTCCTACATTGGCATTTCGCTCTCAGTTCTGTTTTTAGGCACATATTCCACTATTCTATCTTCGCACTCATTCTGTTAACGTTGTTCTGTTAATTTTTTGCTCGTTTTCCCCAGCGTTGAACGTTAATTTCTCGCAACTCCCTTGTTTCTCATTGGTTTTGATTATTCTTATGGGCTCTGCACCAACGTCCCACCCTTGACATTGTTAGAGGTAGAGTGCGGACCACTTTTTTGGTGCGCCATTGTCCTCCCATATTGCTCAATGGTGCTCACAACCATAGAACACCGCCTCAGATAGTGAAAGTGGCGAAGGATGGGGGTGTCCACTCAGGTGCCGAGATGCGGTGCTCGTCTGCTTTTGCATTCCTATCCCATAAGTTATTTTTCTTATCTAGTGAGTTCTTGCGAACGCGGACTCATCGTCTGTCGCTTCAGGAGTATACAGGGTCTCTAGAAGTTCAAACGTTAAAATGATTATACTCGATGTCGCCTTTTCGCAATAGATCATTCAGAGTGCTGTAAATCCCTTGGGGGGGGGGGGGGGGGGGGGGGGTTTCTTCTGCACTCATGATTTTGTTAGGTAGCAATTTGAACCGGTACCTCTTATGTTTTTGAAAAGTTTGTGCCTGAAACCCTGGGATTTAGACCACTTTTGCTTGTAAATCAGGGTTTTTCTTTCTAGCAATGGCATCTGGTTTGCTGTCATTGTTCTTGCATTACAGAAGTTTACAGGATACTGTAATGTACAGTTCTTCTTCTACAGAAGGTTCAAGTTTAAAGTTGCACATAACAACGCTTTTTTACAAGAGAAACTTTTATTTATTCTGGTTTCGAGCTTATCGTTGCTATTTTTTATTATCAAATATGAGCGCGTCTGCTATTCCTTACAGCCAATGCATTTGCAAAACCAGTTCTTGCAGTCACTCCATGGCCCGCATTTCTAAATTTATACTTGTAATTCAGGGGTTGATTTATGATGGCAGTAGAGTCCTTGCTATTCGATAACAACTAGGGCACTGCTTTGTAGTGAAAATGAAATGATTATGTTTTACGGGTGAAGGGAGGAGGGATCAGCGGGAACTAAATTCAGTATGGAAAACTGCTCCCTTCACTGACCTCACGGTGAAACAAAATGCATTAAATGCAGACTTTCACAGACAGTAGAGAGGGAAGGGGCTTGTTTTATTGTGGCATACCAAAGTGGCAGTACAAGCATTTTAGAGTCGGTTAACACCTCACGTAAGAACTGGATTAGACTCGACTGTATCCTGGGAAGACTTCTATGATTAGGTGAGGAGAACAACCCATGCAACAGCAAAAACAGGCATTCTTCAGATAGAGGGGACCTGCTCTGTTGTGGAATACCGAAGCGGTAGTGCATATGATGTGGTGAATCCTGCCCGAGCAGCCTCAACCGATCTTCATACTACAGTGACTCACATCTGCCATGTACAGGGCAGTACCGAGGCTCTACGGCAGAGAGTGCTGACCAGTAGACAGGATCATGAAAGACAACTTAATTTGCACAGATTAGGTCATTGAGATGGACTGCTGTTGTACGCTGTTGCACCGTAATAGGACGGTCATGCAGGCAGCTCCTTACTGCGGAAAATGAGAGAAGCGTTGGTGGCGGTATGGGAACGTGCTGCGAGGAACATGAGATCGTGCAATTAGAGGAGCTACAGTCCTGCTCATCCTTCCTGTCAGTGAAAATCTAACACAACTCGAGCTGAAATTGGCCTCCCTGTGAAGTGCTGAGGTTCCTCCTCTCCCTCCTTCATGCAGCGGTTTCCTTTTTATTTATTTGGTGGTTCTTAAGTGCGGAGTTGGTGTAGCGGCAAGTAGCGCACTATCACGCAGATGGTGTCCAAGATCGAATCCTCGAATCACAATTACTGGGATCGGCCTACACGATTCATCGTCTAAGCCGTAGATGCAGGCGGACGCCACTACGACTCTGTATAGAAATCGAATGAGGGGGTGCAACCAAAGCAGGATTGAAGGTTAAAGTCCCTGACTTCACTTTCCGTCCAATGATTTCTTACGACGTACTATTTTCTCACTGATGTCAGCAAGTCACTTACCCTGCATACGTATTTCTTGCAAAAGTACGAGGCCCATACACAAGACCAATCTCCCCAATTCGATGATTCTGTACAAGTCATTAGGACACTGATAATGCTGAGAAGCAAGATCAGCTGCATTCTGAAAAATTTGTTAATGCAATCACATACTGGAAATTTTAGTAGAAAACTGATGCCGTAGGTAAGTTTTGACGTTAATGGTATCAAATGAAGGTTTCCTGAGGAGGTGTACGACTTCCTTGGAGGAACTTACCACTAGCGAGTAAAGCCTATCCGACTGACTCCTTTGCTGAACAAACAATGAATGAACCACTCCTACTAGAAGAAAGGGTTTTCCAAAGTATACGAACTGAGAGGAAAGGGTATTGATATTCGAAGGTTTTGTCTTGTACCATATGCGGTCGTTCCTTACGGAGGAAATATGATTGATGTCGCTGTTGGCACTTGGAACGCAGGCCAGTAAACTAGGAAACCAGGAGGTCGAGTAAAACATGTAAGTAACAAATCATGAGAGACTTGATATGTATATGTTGAACCACATTTTTGGAATGAAAAAAGTCATTAGACTGGTAGAATATTGGATAATCATCTTGCCCTTAAACTAGGCCCCTTAGCTTTTGTAGGTGTATCATGCTCTAGTTGCTTTTCTGAACCTGTAAAGGCACCGTTCACGATAATTTTGGGTAATCCAGATTATGATGAAAAATGGAAGACAAGATCGAAACTATTGCGACTGCGGTGAAGAAACTGCGTGCATCGGTGTTCCAAAGTGAAAAAAGGCTTCGAAAAAACGTTAAAATAGGGGGCTAGACGAGAATTAAACCAGAAAAATGACGAAGAGTGGGGTGTCCGGACGAGCTAGACAGTTGTTTCACTGCGCGCGTGTGGGTTCTGGTGCGAATAACAGACAATGGTAGGCAGAAATTCATTCACGTATAAGCATAAATAAACAAAAAACCCTAGTAACAGCAAAAGTAGCTCACCTTTTTCAGCCTCTAATAGTAGGAAATTAAATAAGGGATCGCGGCAGCAAGAAGGTAAACAGAGGAAAGAAGAATGGGAGAAAAACATCGCCTCATCACTCGGCGATTAGCTGATTGTGCGTGGGTCCTAGAACGAATAATAGCAATCCGTATTGTCTCGACACTCGTCTAACGTGACACCGATCGAGGGGCGAGAAAGCGAACTACGGCGGCAACGGGGCTGCCACTATGCCCTGGACGTCGAGATTGGGGGAGTGAGAGGGTCCCTTCTACTACCCATGGGGGCCACTGAGTATTAATAAGGTAAGAACTTAATAACTTTTTTATCGTGGATGGTGCCTTTAACTACTTCAAGAGACCATAATGCTGATGATGAGGTGTTCTCTACTTGTCTCGTTGTTTTTTTTTAAGAGGGGAGAAGATTGATTCTAGCAATAAAGCGTATGTGGACAAGCCGTCGGGGGCGTCTCGAAGGAATTAGTGCTGAGTCAAGTCGTGTCACGGTAATAGTGATGCAGTGAGGTCAAATCTTACTCATAGGCACCACCTAAGATATGTACCTCTCAGATGTGTTTTCAGATCAGAAGTGTTTCATAAGGTTCAGAAGACACGGCACATTTGCGGTCGAGCTCAACAGCCAGTCTGCGGAGAAGTATCCTCTCATCCGATCGGATATGGCGTTATGTCTGACGTGCTCAGCGAGCGCGTTGAGTTCTAGCTAGTTGTCCTACCACGGAGCTCGCTACAAGTGTTTGCGACGGTACACCGTAGCCCAAGGATACACAATCCTACTGTAGGTACACGGTAGAATGAGGGTTTTCTAGAGTGCAGACTTATGGGTCACCATGGAATTCGCTGGGCGTGTGCGTTATTAAAGTAATTCGATGCTCGAATTCCTTCTGCTTCTGCCTACTGTTTTGCTTAATTTGTTGTTATCACTGTGACTTTCTTTCATGTTTATACACCTTCTCTTGCGATTTCGTGTTCCAGCCCATCTAGGACGCTTTTGTTGTGTTTATTCCATGATGCACTTGAATTTTCCAGGTATCTGTCCGGTGCGATTGTGTTGCCAGCATGTAGTGCCGATTTCGAGAATATTAAGAACAGCATCAAATATGCTGCCGGAAAACCAGCCAACTGCTCTCCTCATTATAGAGCATTGTGAGAACCCTTCTTTAAAAAACCATCTTATCGGCTGATCCATGACTGATCTGTTCAGAGCCCTCCTCGTGTCATCACCTCCAAACTCTACTGGATCGTTGAGTGGCTATGCTACTTTTCAGTCCAACGGCAAAGTCTCTGAGGTATGCTGCGACGTTTCTGTTGAGGACTTTTTTGATCTAAACATTTCAGTACATTTTTGTGGAGCAAAATGCTGGAAGACGGGCACGTACTGGTAAATTCGCTGTCGCTGGTTCCATGGAATGGCGAGTTCTAAGCGAACGCTATGGTTGTTCGTTGGTGGAGTTTACAGTGGATAAATGTAAGTGGGAAGGCCGTGGACTGTAACACTCTGAATTCCGTTTTTCAATTTAGTGGATTTCGAGAATGCTCTTCAACACTTTTTCAGAGGTTCAGTTCACGATAATTTTGGGGTATTCGTTAAAATACGATCAATGAAAGTGATAGCCTAGAATGATGCAAAAATGGCGAAAAAACGCAAAAATCGTACCTAGAAAAATATGAGCCTTTAGAAAAGTAGTAAAATTAGGGACTCGACGGGAATATGATGTCAAAAACTGCTTGGGGATATTTGGACGAGCTGTCCAAATGTGTGCCTTGCTTACAGCTTGCTTTCAGTAAGGTTCCTTGCACATCATGTTGGTCCAGGTGCGAATGGTGCAACATCTACAGACTCTCTAACTCCGTTAGGACTCGTACGCTTTCAGGTGTGCACGTCGGCTGATCCGGTTTTGCGGCCATTAATACGCCCTATTTAGGCCGTTTTTTGGCCCGACAGCATCCATGTGCCACCCTTAAGAGTTACAAATTCATGCTAGGATGAAACCTTAGAAATCATTTTTATCGTGAACTGTGCTTTTACCTTTAATACAAAAAGTTATCCACCGATAGAGTACTTTTTGAAATGTTGGCCCACATGTTCAAGGAATGAAATGAAGTTATAGTAAGCTTGACCCGAGTGGAAGTGCGGATTGTAGGAAATCCTCTTTCGTTTGAGTTTGTTGGTTGCACCAAAGCAAGTTACTGGATATCTGATGAGTAAAACTTAACATTTGTATTCATTCCAGTTGCCCGCCATCTTCCGCGTCTAATGTTCTCACACATGCTATGTCCAATCCTTGGAGACGAACTGTACGGGAATCGTCTTATCGAAATCGATGGCAAACCGGCAACGGTCCAGCCCAAGGATTTACGACGTGTGAGGAACGCTCGGGTAGGTTCAATTCCCGGAAGCCTTTCATACCACGAGTGACATAGGGTTTTAGAAGAAAAACCTGAGCAATATGAAATGAAAAACTCGAAAAAAGGAATGCAATCATTTCAGTACTTCCCTAAAGCCCTCACGGATCATCTTGGGGTTACTGCAGCGGAATTGCAGAGGGTGATGCCTCTCTATTGCCACGTGCATTCCACGGTGAGTAAATTACTATACTATGACTTCTAAACTACTAAAGTGTAGACAATTCGAAGTATTTCAGTTCTTTCCGCGTTATGGTTGGAAGGTCGGTCGACCGAAGAGAGAACAGGACTTTGCTGATCTCTATGCCAACATTCCGCCCCCACGTAGGGTTTTTTTTCAGCTTTGAAATGAGGGCAACGATATCTGTAATGAAATTGGAGGAAATGTATATTGGCTACAAGATTCATGGTACTGATATACTAAAGTTAAGTAAATGTTCCAGAGCACTTTCTGGCTATGGCGGAAGCGCTAGGAATGAACGATGCACTAATGAAGTATTTCCAAGACGACGATGACGACGGTGAACAACTGATCGGTGGAGATGAGAAGCTCTGAGTTGTCGTACCATACTCCCCTTTGGAGTTATAATAGAACTATGTATAACTTGAGACTTGTCATGCCTCCATAATCGTTAACTTAACACAAAGGTGGAGCTGTGCTTAACTGTATCAGGCTGTTTTCACGCTTCCGCTCACTGCGCGATCATGACAGTACGCTGGAAGCGGTTCAGATATAGTCGGAGACCCAATAATGGTGAGATATTCTTTCAGTGATTTGTCATTGAACAACCCTTTTGCCTGGGCACAATGCGTATCTTTTCCAATCAGAACCGTCCTTTCACCCTTCTGGACTTGCATCTAGCCCAAAAGACCTAAATTCGCGCGAATGCGCGGCAAGTCTTTGTTAGTTGTCCCACTGCGTCGAATAGCTGTGGTCGTGTTGTAGACACCATATACTACATCTTTTGAACTCCCATCACCTCCTCTTTGAACTTCGTCTACATATAGCACCAGCACGGCATACTGTATTGTTCGGATTCTTCCGCGGATGATGACAAACAAGGGTTATTACGACGTGTTGGACTACAATTTCAGTCATTGGGCAATGTGTGAGGTAGCGCTACCACGCCTAATTGCCCATCTCTGAATTTGCATGCAATAATTGACTTTATCTCGATCTCGAACTTACCTCAACCAGATACGAGTCAGTTGTAAAATCCTCCTATTATATGTAACCAGTCGGATCGCCCGGCTAACGCCAGGCTCTCCTCCTTCTTGAAATGTTGAACTGAAGAATTTTTTCCCTTTTAAAAAGTTCATAGTTTTAAGTTTTTTTCCGCTGTTCAGCTGAGTGAGAGTATGAGACTGGAACAGGGCTCGAAATCCTTCATTGACACAACAAAAATCAAAATCTTCCTTAATTCTTTGATAAAGTTATAGTGAGTCTAAATCTCTACTCCTTTTTTGAAACAAATGACAGTTTCCTGTAACGACATTTGACACAGGACTAACAGGGCAGTGCAAATGGTATTCAGTTAAAGCCGGTGCTTACGCCCTTGGTTGGAAGTCTCGAACTTTTGCTCTCTTTCTTAGAAATAGATACCCATCAAAAATCCAACTGTTAGACAATCGAAGATGATGCTGTGGAGATGATCTGAGTGATGACAACACCGTTATCAGATGTTCTTTATCAATGGACCCTTTTCTTTACGGAGATATCATTAGTTGAGAGTTCCAGATTACTGGCGGTCGATCAAGTTTCGTCGCAAATGATATCAAGCAAAGGGGATCTTTCATTGAATCACAACCTTGCTGGGTAGTGGTCGCTATCTAATAGTAAGAAATGAACAAAGTGCTAATCTGCCTAGCGTAGTGACGCTGATGGGTCCCTATCTTTCGTCTTATCGAATGAAACATACTGAACAGCCAAAGCTACATCGTAAATACCGAAGGGTCAGAATTTTGATGGGTAGGTGGCCTCTCTTAGGTCCCCTAGTTTCTCTTATAAGTTATGATCAGTTCTTGACACCGAGTATCAACGATCCCGTCATATCCTACATCACTTACTGAAGTGCTGATTTTCCACTGTTAGTACGAAAAGTGTTATCCTACCAAATTTCAACGCTCTAGGTCCACGCAATCAGGAGTTATTAATTTGCGGCCCAATTTTTATTGCGCACGCATCGCCCCCTGTGCACGGAATCCGGTCCCGCCACCCAACATAGGTATTCCCATCCTGCCCCCCGTATTCCTACCAAGTTTGAAAGCTCTCGGCCGACGGGAACAGCAGTCATGAATTTGTGGCCCAAAATTTCTATCGCGCACGCCCCGCCCCCTATAGGTGGAGCTCGATCCTGTTACCTGTCATAAGTGTTCCCATCCTGCCCCCCGTACTCTTACCAAATTTGAACGCTCTAGGTCCTGGGGGACAGGAGTTACGAATTTCCGGTCAGACACACACACCGACACACACACAAACAAACACACACACACACAAACACACCGACACACCAACAGACACACTTAGCGAATTATATAAAGTAGGATTATCAGAGCTCTCTTCAATTCTTCACACTGCGGAAACTGTCTATAAGGATGGCGACTCCTCTTAGTTTCGCCTTTCGAATATACATACCCGTCGATTGCCCAACTTTTGCTTGCCCCCGCCTCCTTATGACGGAGTCAGAATGCTGGCTTGCCCGCCATTTCCCTTCAGAAAAAATCATACACTTCTGATCACACATTCCTGGAAAAAGAATTCTTAGAACTATGCAAGCTCAGCAAACGACTTGTGGCTCTAAAGGAAAGCAAAGAACAGAGCCCAATGCACTGGTATTGATTGTGTGGTGTGGTTGGGCTGATGAGAAATGTGTAGCCCTTCGTTGTTCCTGATTTTACAGTAGTCGTCCATCGAAGATTTAAATCTTTTCCTAATGGTTGATGGGTACTTGCGCAGCAACTTTTCTGACCTTAGCAACCTGACCATTCAACCGGAGGCTTCAATTATACCACGTATTCTGCCAACTACATATTCTGTCACTTTTTTTCAATCTACTCTGATATATTTCTTGTAAGAATGCTCTAGTTTATGCGGAGAGTACAATAAACTCAACCGTTATTGCCTAGTATTATCCCTTATTAGAAATTATCACCACCAATCATCAACAACTGCACACACCGTATAATGCCATAACTTTAATACGAAAGGCACAGGCAACCTACGCTCATGCCTTTTACAGCCTATTATCGGCCTTATCAATTGTTTTAATTATTCTTGGTGCTATGGCTCCAAAGGTGTCATATTGTGTATAAACTCTGCCATGATCCCTTCATGCTTGTTACTACCATCTGAGTGTTACTAGTATCGTTAGTTACTACTGAATGCCGCTCCCCTTGTCTCCTAGTCTCTTTGTAGCAAAGTGGAGCACACTCCCCACTCAGGTAGATCCCAGCGAACCCGTAAATTCATATAGGGTGTACTAGTTGATGTCTAGTGTTGCTGTAGATGTTGTCGTTTTGTTAGTTTCAGTACTATTTGTGTTTTGCTGTACTGTATTGCTGTGACGTTCAGATTAAATTATTATTTGTTAGTTGTTGTTGTTGTTTACATCTTTCATCTGTTCCTTTTATACAGTACAACGAATAAAAATGTACTTCCTCTAAGTTGTGTTGATCGCTTACTCTTTTTCTGGCTTGTTTCAGAAATGAATGAAAAGTATAAAGAGGAAATAGAGAGCCCAGAAGGTGGGTAAGAAATAGGGTCAACTTGCAGGATAGAAAATGATTTGATAGGTTCAATAGTGATATTCAAATAGGAATAAATAAATGGAACAAATTTTGATAAGAAAACGGGAAGATTTTTATTGATGATCGCTTCTCGAAAGCATTGAAAAGATCCCATCACGGTGTGCCTTTGTTGTATGGCTATTACTTGATCGTATCTCCCAAAAACTATTTCTCATCTCGAAGTATTCTGGGATTCGCTCCAGTTCTGACGGAGAAATTACGACTTTTAATGGAAAAAATCACTTTATGAATATACAAAAAACCCTTCTAAACGCTTTTTCTTAAATAGTAGCCGAAAGCATAACATACATATCATGACAAAAAAAACGAGTGCATTGGTTCTTCATTTTGCAACCATAAAAAATATGTTTGTGTTTGAATGTTTCCCTGGAAACTGTGAGAATAAGTCTCACGCAAGAGCACTGGGAGTTTCCTAAAACTTGAAAAAGTGTCGTGATCGTGGCCCAAGTATGCAACGGCCAGCAATCCAGTTCGTATCCGCTCGTTTCCACCGTACCTTCTCTGCTTCCCTGCCCTCTGCCTCTCTTATCCGCCACGCACACTCGCGGAGCCGGCTTCTCTGGCCGCCAATTGATCGTTTTCTTCTTGGGTGGTCTGCCTCCGCCCACTCGACGGCCTTCCCTCGTGTAGCCTTCAGGACATTCCAAATTCCCAAACAACACCGCGAAAGTGGCCCAACGCTGTCTCGATAAGGGGAGCAGCATAGGACTCGCCATCAATGAAGTAAGTCGGTTTACTAATCCGATTCAGCTTTGATAATCCAAATTTGTGTGGGAGATATCGGTTCAGTACTGGCTTGCCTGATCTTTCTTGATTACCTGTTCCTGGATAGTTATCTAAGTAATTTTGATATGGAATACCCAGAATTTCTGTAATTCTGGCTCTTCGGAATTTGGTTGTTACCATTGCTACCAGCCGAAACTATCGATTGGCTTCGTGGGTGGTCTGAAAAGTGCTAGCCAACAGCTCCACCTCAGTTAGCAATAGGTAAAGTAAATTCGCTCTCTCTCTGAAGCTGTTCAATTCAACGTTCATATCATTACTCTGTAACCCGTACCTGTAAATATCTTACAATTTATCAAAAAGAGAGCTACCAGCGAGTTATCCTGAGGGAATAGTTTGGAAATATTTAATGTGAACATCCATAGCCATCATCAGTGGCCATCCTTAAATTTTGCCTGACGGAATGTTTCCAGCTTGTGTAGGACTCCTACCTGTCTTCTTTAAAAAAGTATGTACTAATTTTAGTATGAACCGGTAACGGCTCCCTCTCAAAAGATTTTATGATTCGTTTTTTCAGTCGGTTGGGACCAGCGAGCAAAGCATAGCTAGGTTAATTCTAAGAAGCCTAGAAACGCTGAAAGCTCTAGAAAGTCGTAGAGAATTGAATGAGACCAACTTATTTACTGTAAGTGCGGCCTCATAGCCCAGGTCGAATACTTCCTGACTAACAAACCATGTGTTCCTGATGTACTCCTTTACTGTTACCGAAGCGATGATTTATTTTTACCATGGACCTTTATTAGAATCAAAGGGGCACTTGAGTCTCTGGTAGCATCTACGACTGAGTATCTGGGCTGAACTTTGGTTTGAATGTCGCATACCCATTTCGGTACAGATGGTTATTGTGGGGCCTATCTTAGAAAAGTGGAGCGGCGCTGCTACTGTAGACTTCATTCTTCCAAAACTCGTTTCCGATTTTAGCGGGAAACGAACTTTTGTGGTATGGGAGGAAATCAAGCCAAAAAT